ACACACACACACACACACCCACACACACACACACACACACACACACACACACACACACACGTTTTGTACTCACTTTTCTATTAAAAAAAAATATATATATATATATATATATACAGTATATAATAAATACTGTATATATATATATATTGTGGCCATTGAAGTTGTGGCTGTCCAAATGTCAACACTTGGCCGCTATTGGCTAGTACTTATTGCATTTGTCGGTTGGATTGGTTAGCTTTAGGCATGAGGAGTGAGATTGTTTCAGGTAAAATATCAGGGTCAGCCAATCAGAGGCAGAGTAGGGCCCGCCCCCTGGATTCCATCGGGCATAGCTGCTACTGAAGCTTCTCTCTGCGCCGCTAAAAATACGTGCCCACAGCGAAAGCTCGACCGGAGAGGCCAGACACACAGCCAACCGATGTTAAAGATTAAAGTATGCGCTCTACAGATATTCACTACTATCTTTTCTTGCAAGATGGCCGACGTAATCGCAACATCGATGTTATCACAAGTTTATTAACATGTGGGGAAATTGCTTCACTGGGGCAACACTACTCATAAGCTCAATCGTCTGGTTTGCCAGAACTTCTTTTTGCTGTTTTCGAGTAGCTTTCGAGCAGTAACTTTTATTTAGTTTTTGTTCTGTTGCGCATCACTGAGTGAACTCAATCCAGGCCGTAGAGCAGGGCAGGTCCTCCCGGCCAGACAGATGCACTGGGAAATGTGGGCTGTAAAACATTATACTTTATGCAAAATAACACACAAACACATCTACAATCCAAAGTGGGATTTTACTTTCTCGCCCTCGATGCTTTTTATCGTACACACAAATTTGGAATTCACACAGCAGCAACTGTGATTAATGACCAATCATTAGATCGGATAATGACTCTCTGGAATGTGATAAATAATAAATCATAACACACGGGATGACAGAAAAAGTAAACACAAATATTCCAAAAGGAAAAGGAAATGGACAAAGAAAGTTTGCAAACACAGTTGGCCTCCCTCACCTGACGCTGTTCACAAGGTGGAGAGTAAAGTGGCATTCATCTCCGCTGAATGAAGCGGCAATCAGTTCCTCCTCCAAATGAGCCTTGCCTGGGCTTTTACCCAAACCCTATGGCTTATTTCTGACTCCAAAAGAGGGGTCTGAATCTCTACTTATCACATTAAAATTGTAGGTCTGTGTGCGGCGTTGAATCACAGCCCAGCTCCACAGCCTCCCTGAGTGGCACTACAACAAATTGCAGTAAGTGCATTTCCATTGACACAGAAAGACAAATGAAGACAAGGTTTGTGTCTGCAGCAAATTAAAAAAAAATAAAAAATCTGTTATATAACCAAAACATCCTTCAAAACAAGGGCACACGCCTCATCTCCCCCTGTGTTTCTCCTGTGAAACAGCTGCCCAGCGAACATGAGGAGACGGGAGCGAAAAGGTCCTGCGTGATATTCCCTGAGCAGCGCTCGCCATGCTAAGTGTAGCAGCGAGGGCGGCGAGGGCTCGGAGTTGCTGTTAGTCACAGGGAAAACCCTGTGCACTGACTGAGATGTAATCCATCATCAGTCACCAGTGGATACTTTGACAGTAATGTTGAGAAAAACAACATTCAGGAGCACGGAGGCCTTTTCCTCACGGTCCATGTATCAACGGGGAGGCGGACAGAACAAAGACACAGATATACGTGGGGGATGTATGCATGTGTGTTTTCGAGCATGTGTGCAAGGCTGAGGTGAATTTGTGTGCACCTGCATTTCTGAATTGCCGCTTGACTGCTTTTCAATGAACTTCACCTTCAGTCAGAATTGGTTCGATCTGTCTTCCATGTGCTTCGGGTGAGTGCATCAAGAGAAGGACACGCAACTCCTGTGGGCAAACCCGCGAGAGTGGACTGTACTGTAGAGTCTGAATGTGCACATGAAGTCTGTTTGTGGCACTACGTTCCTTCTATATGATTACATCTTCTTTGGTTTGTCTTTCATCCCTTTTCTCCTGAGAGCAACACAATGTTTTCCCTCATGGCTCATAGTCACACCTTTGATTTACATAAAAGCACCAATACAACGATATCAAAATAGTCCATGTAAAAGTCCTGCATTACAAATCAAATACATCTACAGATCTATCATCTGCAAAATGTACTTGAAGTAGAGCTGGGCGATTTCTCATTTCATATCTCTAACAGTGTATGTCACAGCATGTCTTCCATAAGTAGTCTAGAAATAACCACTTAGAAAAGCCTATTTTTTTATGCTCCAGTGTAAATAAAAATAAAATACTTAGTACTGAGCATTTTTTCATACATTGTCTATGATTTAACTGAGTTTGATCAGATTTTGGTGTATATTGGTGTGCCTTTTTTTGTCGTGTCATCACCGTTCATATCTATACAACCGTGTGTCTATGATTATATTATGTACAAGAACACAAAGTTCTTCATCGTTCTAGCTGCTTAATTCTGCTCTCAAAGTGCACCAACACAACCTGCGGGTGTTGTATTTATCTTTTAATAAGGATTTAAGATTTTATGCCCTCGTGGTATTATGTATTATGTTATATTTTTCAAGGCATTGTTTCAAAGTTGGAAATTCCGGTATCGTGAAAACATTAATTAAGACAATTTAAGAAAATTTGAGTTA